ATGAGCATTTAGTTCCACGATTTAATTAAATAAGATTTATGGATAACATTGAAGCCAGAGCGAGAGCAAGTCAGTTAAATATATACATATAGCATGTACTCAGTTGCAGAGTCCAAAGACTCTCAAAAAAGAAAAACTCGTATCGTCGCTTGCTTTGGCTGTGCGTTCAGATATATACAGCTATATAGCCGACATTTCCACTCCTCTCCTCGTAGGCGCACATTCGGTATACCCCTTCCACGCGTCTCCAAAATGTGCGCCTATATGGACATTTCCACGCGAATCCACTCTTCTCATACCCCTACCGTGCTGCTCAAATAAAAAAAAAAATGTGCGCCTGGTTCGGCCGCTTGGCCGCGGCGGGGCGCTCGAACCACTGGAAAAAAGTGGGCACACTCCGTAGCATGGCAGTCAGCAATCTCCCAACTAATCTCTGCCAGTAGCTAGCTATGCAAATCAACCAACGCAGCTAGCTCCATGGTAGTTGGCTAGGTGGCGCTTCCCTAAACCTCTCTTGTTCGCGCCGTTCGCGCGCACACACCGCGTTCAGCTCCGCCTCGCAACGTCTTCCAAACTAGTCTTACTACTTGACTACTTGTCTGAGTACTTGCCCCCTTTCTCTCTTCAGTCTTCTCCATCAATCGCTCCCCTTCTCCCGTCTCGCCTCCCCGCTCCCGCGAACCCCTCGCGACTGCGCCGTGACAATATGTATATAAACACGTATGATTTGTAACTTTCTTTACTTTTCTGGTCTAGGAGTATAAGATGAAATATCATAAACTCTATACATACTAAACATAAAATATTTTTTAAATAGTTAGGTGGGGCTTATTATTTTCTTTTCAAAGTCATAGCATATTAATTTTAACTACTTTGTTTCAACACTTTATTATCAAACGTACAACGTTTCTATCCGGTGAATTTAAATGTTGTACAACAAAATTCTTTAATTTTTATTATTGTACCTGGTAAATCATAAAAAATATTTAACACATTGTTTATTTTATCATAAGAAATAAAAATTGATGGAGATAGGAAAAACTATAATTCAGGAGTGGAGAGTCGTTACAATGTTGCGATTTTTTTTGCACAAACAAAATTTATTATAGCAACTATGACAATTTGACAAGTAGTGTTTTCACCAATTTTTGTAATATAGAAAAAATTATCTAACCAAATATTTTCTAATTATCTATGTCATATCGTACTTATACACTCAAATAATTTGTATTTGTGCAGGTGCTTTTGCAGAGTGTATCAAAATTTGTGGAAAATCTGCCGAAAAACTATTGAAACTAATTATTAATGATTTTCCAAGTTTTCGTGACGAAGCTTTGTACAACGGAAAACGTGGTAATTATGAACAAAACACTTAATATTTTAATTTTATAGAGTAGACGATAAATAAAAACTGTTTCATTTGTTTACCCGTAGTTTCATACTTGTACATATTTGGTAATTAAATTTTTTTGATTCATTTTACTTCAAATCTTCATTACAAATCTGACATATACTTATCATTTCATCAGTACTAAAAGTCGTGTAACCAATATTTAAATTATAATACGTTTACTTTCTTGTTTATTTCACGATTCCTTTATAGTGTTAAATTATAAATTGATGTCTTACATAAATAAGTTTTTTCCGATCCACCAAGACATTTTCAGGATAATTTTGTGTCTTCGAGCAGTTTTTTAAGCATCAGATTAAATTTGGCATTTTTGTACACTCCCATTGCATAGTATTTCGTTGTTTTTCAGTTTTAATCCAATTATAGTTCATCGTCTACTCCCCAATAATTAATTTTTTTATGACTATTAAAATCGCAGCTCTAGCTCTTCCTTTTTTTCATTTTTAGTTTACCATTTTCCAGACCCAATCATGACTTTTGTCTAGTTTACTGTCTATTCGTTTTATTCACACTTTTCCATCCCAATTTTTTTATCGATTACACACAACTTATTTATTTATTTTATTTTACCGGGTTACCACAGACTTGTTCTATTCAAGTGATACCGTCGTCATAGTAAGTGACAAGGCCAACCACAAAGGGTGCAAAGACAAAAAGACCTCTATAAT